TAAATGTCAAATTTGAGGTTCTAAAATCTATATCCTGCCCATTACTCCATGTTAACTGCCATCTATGCTGCTGACCATGAATTTTACTTTATTTGCTACCCAGGAATTATGGAAATGAATGTATTATATTCACTTTAATTTTTCCTTAGAGATAAAAAAATCTGAGCAAAAACAACAGCTTTTAGGGAAAGGTCTTTATGATCTTGACATGGGATCAAAACTCTTGAAAGCTCTGCTGCCACATCCCTGTATTTGATTGTTCACCTTCTCTTTATCTAAAGCACCAAGTTTAGATCATAAAATCTTGAGAAGTATGATATCAACTGACTCAGTTATCTTGTATATATGTAAATCTTGTATATCCATGGTACATGTATAATTATTAGGGCTGAAACTTGTCCCTCACCTATAGTGGTTACTAATAAGGATGAACAGGTGGAAAAAGTTAAGAAATGGTAACTTAATAAATAAGTACAGAATGGATTCTGTATACTAACAGGGTCTCATTTCTCCTTGTATTCAAAGGAATTATGTCCCTATGCCCCTTCCCCTTAATATTCCTATTTACACACAGTGCTGGGGACTTGCCTTAGAGGATTTGTCTTGACAATAACTTACAAGGGTCCACTAAATCAACTGATAAGCCACATTGCTGAGATTCACACTTGAGATATTCAACCCCGGAGACTTATGCTATAGAGTGTCCCAAATACTTGAAGAGAAAAACACATCAGCTTTCTAATGAGGCCCTACCAGAAAGGCCCAGTGTGAAAGTACCCAAGATAAGCAAAAGTCTAGTTATATCTCAGTAAATATTATGATGATTTGTCTGTGTCATAGATATGAAATATTATATTATAGAGTGGCAATGGTACTCAGCTTTGTTTTCTGAAGTTTCTGTAGCAAATCCCAAGTCAAGGCCTAATATGTGTGATGTGTGCCTATGACATGAGGTTGGGTGGACACCTTTTGAGGTACTAATTCCTTCACTCTGATGTAGCACCAAAAATTTAAAACTAAAACCATACAGAGAAAAAAAAAAACGCACAAAGAAGACAGTAACTATTTATGACCTAGTCCATGAATATTCATTCTAATCACTGTACAGTAATCAATTAGCAGTATACACAGCAAGAACAATATGAAATCTGAGACTACAGATTGTAGAACTGAATAAATCATCATTTTAAATGACATAACTAAAGATGACACACTTTCTTTTCTGTATGCAAATTCACTTTATGTTCCCTAGTGGAATATGTAAGAGGAGAAGGTACACAAAAGGCAAGAATTAGACCTTAATGTCTGTTCATACAAAATATGGGTCAAGAAACACATTATCTACATTATTTGTTTATACAGTTTTGATATTATCTTAATGTTTAAGACTGAAAGACAAGAATGTGAGTTAACCAAATTTCCTAATATTTTTATATAATGCAGTAGACTTTCAAAACTACACGCTAATGCATTATTCATATCAATAATGAAAAACTAATAAATTTTCTGGTTATTTTCAAAGTTTACCTTTCATAATTCCAGTGTTATAATATGCTTGAGTTGTTTAAATTATGAGTGTGATGTTTCAAATAATTGCTGCAAGAAAATAAAATGTAAATCAGAATCAAATGTTTCCAAAAACTAAGTGGGAACTATCAAAGATATAAAAGAGCAAAGTTAATTTAAAATGATCACTGATTAAACTTTTTTGTAATCAACGTCAGGCATTATGTTTTTCAGAATTAAGCCATTCACCATTTCATTCTTCTAAATTTTTGATATCTTTAGTGAAAGAACTTAGAAAAATAATTGTGGTAATATGGAAAAATACTTAAGATGTTATGCTCTAAGAAATGCATATTTATTTGTACATCCTGCACATGCACGAGGTTTATGTACTGAGGTCCCACGCTAGACCTAAAATGGCAGAGTTACAGGATATTGTTGCTTGGTGACCAAACAGTATCTCCTCAGGCAGAGTAATCTAAATAGTGACAACTAGGTCCCTAGGCATGGCTAGGACAAATATTAAAGGACATGTTTATCTCTTTTAGTATTCTACATTTTTATTTAATTCGATAATCACTTTATTTTATCATCAGTCAAGTTTAGGCTTTAGGAGAAAGAATACTTGTAAAGCTACATATATTCTTTTGGAAAAATAAAAGAACCAAGCTCCTTTCAGTATGAAAGCTCGTTTGTTTCAATTAAGTCTATGTCATGTGTCTACTCTGCTCTAATACGACCTCCCAGTTGCTATCAGTCTCCCTTTCTTTCATTAAACACAAGTAGTTAATTAGCCCCAGCCTGTCCTCTCCCCTTCTCTCTTTCCCTTTTTGCAGTAGTAATGATGTCTAATTATCAGCAGCAGTGGGTTACTGCAACATCAGGCGCAAATATCTCACTGACAGCAAACCTAGCCGAAAACCAGGAAACCTCAAATAGCTAGAATGATTCTTAACCTACTTGAAAATACCATCAAATATGGTGCTTTATTTCAACCAGTATATGCCTTTGAATCAAAAGAAAATATATATTTTGGCCTTTCTGGTGACTGTTCTCTAGCTTTTATAGTGAAAAATCTCCTTTTCTAAAGAAGAAATAATTTGAGATGTGAGGAAACACATGATAAAAGGGAATCTTATTTATTTTTTTAAACTCATTGAAATGATGATTGGCTATCTCTCAGAGAAGGAGGAGCCTATAATTCTATGTCAGGAGCAGCATAAGAATTTCATAAAGAGCAATAAAAGAGCTCATGAATTAAAAACCTCTTGAACATTTCAAAACAGGTTTGAATGAAGAGCAGAGCTCTTAAATACTACACAAAAACATTAATAATATAACCTGATGGGTTACATTTTCTTCCATAAATATATGGACTTTTTACAGAAAAATAGAAACACGTGTTACTTATTAATACTAGAGTTGTTATTCTATACTACATGTCTTGGCAGCAATTCTTTAACAACTCTACATTAATTTTTGAATGAAAATATGGGTATCAGAGGATGCAAATGCTGGTTTAAATTGCTAGCATCCATGATTATCTCTGTGTCAACATAACACAGAGATTTGTTATTTAGAACTGATGTTCTAAAAGGGCATATCCATTTATACATAATTTGGATGTAACCAAATCCATGCAAATATAAACCCATTGACCAATATACAAGTAAAGCTATCTGACAGATAAACAGAGACTTAACTCTAACATAAAAATGAAAAACAAACTTCCCAAACAACAATTTTTAAAAACATACATAAGGTTAAATAATATGTAGGCAAATGTCTCTTAAATTCTTATTGTTATCCTTCAATTTGCCCAATATGATCCCAAAGAAAATAAATTCTTATTTTTGAATTCTAATTTACTTTGTCTAACAATGTCATATATTTTTTTTTTTCAAATCAGGTTCTAAATGTTATTCCCAATACAGGTGAGTCAAAACACTTTAAACTCTAAAACAGACTTCTGGTTTATCCAGATGTAAATAAACCTCAGTTTTAATCTATATCCATCCAGTCCTCATTAATTAGTAAACCAACACTACAGTAATCTCACCATTGTCTTAAGCAACGCCACATGTTAAAGGAGAAGGCTTCATTTATACATCTACCTCCCAGAAAGCTTTCAACAATAGTATTTAAAAAAAAAAAAAAAAAAACAGAACTTTTTTCCATTTCACCTACATTTCCATTTCCCATTCTCCAGATAAATTCCAAAAGAAATATATTTCCTGCAAACAACAAATCTCAGCAAACCATAAACTTGTCTTTCCGAAGCTAAAAGACTACTCCAAATAACCCTTTGAAAAACCTTTCATGCACATATTTTCAATTTAATATACCTCCGCTTAAGACAGAAGAATAGCTTTCAAGACATCTCCTTTCTAGCATCCTCCAGGAATTCTGCACAGGAAACAGTTGCCAGTAAAGGGTGGAGGAAAAGAGCAAATGCTCAAGAAACCCTAAGGAAGGCAAAAATGCAAAGGATGCCAGATACCCTCCCCCGCCCCTACTCCAGGGAGTACCCACCGTAGCGTGATGAAGACAGAGGTCTCATGGATCTGATCTGCAACCCTACTTGGAGCCCACAGTTCCCATCTTCTTGAAAAGGGAATTGACGCTCCTGCCGCTCCTCAGCCTCACAGGCTTCTGCCCTCTGCGGCTGTGATATACTCGACTCTTCATGCCAATACCTTGCAGCGCTTGGGTTTAGAGCTTTGTGGCCATGAGACTAGAGCCACCCCAAATAAACACACCATTTGATTGCGCCAAGCCCATCTCTCTTTGTTATTCATCATGTAGCTGCAGCTTTATTTGTGAAAGGGTGAAGTGAGGGAAAGAATGGGGGGCGGGGAAGAGCAATCTCCAGAGCCTTATCTACAATCTAAATACTCGCGGCAACAAGGTCTCGGGGAGTGATTTAGACGATCCGACAGCCCGGGGTCGCCCAAGCGGCTGTCTAACAATAAAACCTGATAGTGTCGGGGGGAAATCCCACATCCACGACTAGCGCCACATTCGGGCTTTGTGCCAATAAGGAGACACTGTAGACTATCGATCAGAATCGTCTATTATCAGAGCGTGCGGCTGGGGTTTCAGTGTGGCCTTTATGCGCGCTGGCGGCTGCGGGACGCGCGCCCGGCGCCCGGCGAAGGACATGGGACAATGGCCCAGCCCGAGGACGCAGGACGCCGCCCGACCCGGGGATGGAGATGGCAGCTCCCACAGCGGGTCGGAGAGCCTGGAGTCGAGGAGGGCAGCGGGCTCTGGAGGTGCGTGGCGGCTTTAAAATCAAGAACCACAAAGACTCTGCGCTGGGGGGGGAACACGTCTTGCTAATGCAAGTAGGGACGACTTGGGGAGGGGGTTGAGAAGGGTGGGGGGCACACGAGCCAACGGTGGCTCGCTGCTCCCCCTGCCTCCCCCCTCCAGCTCCCCTCCCCGCCGGGCTGCTCAGGCAGACAAATAACAGAGGAAGGCGAGTCACTCACCGTGGTCTTGACGGGCACGTAGAGCACTTGCTTGGCGCCGCCACCCCCGCGGACCTCGTCCGGCTGGCCCAGCTGGAAGCCCTTCGATTTGACCCAGAATTTAAATTTGGCGTTATCCGTGGAGCTCGACTCGGAGCCGTTGAGAAGCTGGACAATCCGCTCGTATTTTTTACGGGTCACCGTCTTGGTCTTGCCTGAGTCCCCGTAAGTCCTGAGGCACCAGTCCTGGAACTGGCGGTACATGTCGCGCTCGCTCTCCATGTTCCCGGCGCTGGGCCGTCGGCCGGATGCTCCTAGCGCACTTCGCACCTGTTCACCCCGGGCTCATGAAAAATGCAGCCCCGGCCACGATGCAGGGACGCGAGGTCCCGGCCGCCGCCGGAGCCTGCCTCGGGGGTGGGGTGGGGTGGGGGGGAATGGGGAGAAGGGAGGAGGGTCCGGCTGGGCACCAGCAATCAATGCCCCGTGCTACCAAGTCTTTGGTTCATTCGTAATTGCAAGGAATGTCTCGCAGGTTTTTCTCGTCCTCTTAGTGACGGGTTTCTTTAATACTGTGTGGCTACGACCATCCCAATAGCAGCTAGCCCAGAGAATCTGGGCTTTGAATAATTAAAATCCCATTCCTTGATTTATTAAAAAAAAAAAAAAGCCCAATATTGACTTGGGGTGGTCCCTGGACGCCTCGCCCTCGGGCTGTGTCCCGGGCTGGGCAGGTGGAGCGCAGCGCCGCCTCCCCGCGCGCGCCCCAGAAGCTTCCCCAGTCGATGGCCCCGTGGTTCAGGAGCAAGGACTGCGCCTCTCTCTAAAGCAGTCTCTGGGCTGAGGGCCTGCGAGCCCCAAAGGGTACCCGGGTCCCCCGGCTCTCCTTCCTCCACGGTCCTGCTGCGCTCAAGGCGTCCCTGTGTGGGGCGTTAAGGGACTAGAAAGAGAGAAAGTTCTTACCTGTCATGTTGTTAAGCCTATCAAATCCTGCTACACAGGAATTTTTAAGAGGTATTTTTAAATGGCTTAAAACATCATTTCTTCAGATGAATTTAGGATAAATTCCAGCCCCGCAGGTAGGTTCTAGGAGTTAGATCCCCAAATTAGCAAAGCATTCGTGGAGATTTGGCCATAGTTCTATAGGATAGACTGTGGTATCCCAAACAGATATCCTTTCCAGGGGGATGTGGGCAAACGAAGGCAGGCCGCTGGCGGTGGGTGTCCCGGATAATGATGGGATGGGGTCCCCCGACAGGACTCCTCTGGTTTCTGCTGAACTGGGTACAAGGCATAGAAATAAGTTTATGCTACAGTTGCTTAAAACCGTTTGCATGAAATCAAAATATAGAGATTTTTCTCCTTGCTTGGTTACAGTTTGCAGTTCACACAGGAGGTTTCAGATGTTTATTTTCCCCCTGCAACGTCATGGACACCCCCTCCACTGCTCAAAGTAGCCAAATACGAGTTCCTCTGGACGATTTTCTCAAACAAATGAAATCAGCGGTTCCTCCATTCAGCATTTCCATCCGTTTGTTAACAGATCTGGAAATAGGGGAGGTCCCATCCTCGTCGCGCTGCGATTGCGGCCGCTCCTCTTTATTCTACTCTCTGCGGAGGCCCGCGCCCGTCCCGGGGAGCGGTTCTGCCAGGAAGGCGGCCCAACCAGTGCCCAGCGCCTGGTCCACGTCCTGGCCCACCTTCGCCTCTCCTCGTCGTCCCCAAGACGAAAGCCCCGAATGGAAGGCAGAGTGTTTGCACCCACTGCGCCGCAGCTGGTCCCAGCACTTACAAAATGGTCAGTGGCTCCTGCTCCACCAGATTGAGTGTGTGCGTGCGTGAGAGCAAGGGATCGAGGGTGTGCGGTGTGCTGGGGTGCGCTGGGGTGCGCTGTGTGTGCGCGCGCGTCTCCGGGAAGGTCTCGCGGCGGCTGGAGCCGGGACTGACAGCCCGGGCGGAGCGCGAGCAGCTCCACACACTAAACCTCTCGCCTCTCCCCTCACCCCCACCCCTCCCACTCCCCTCTCCTCCCACCCCCCCTCCCGACCCCTTCCAAGCTCTCTGATTGGCCAATGGGACAAAAGTTTCTGTGGAGACGGTTGGGCGCTGACGTCACGGGCAGAATTGTCCCATTTAGGGATCCCGGGGGCAGTGCGCATGCTGCAGGCTGCAGGTTAGAGGCAGGAGGAGGTAGCAGCGGGCCCGGCGGCAGCCAGGTGGCGGAAAGGAGCACTCAGCATCCAGGTGGGGGGAGACTCCAGCAGGGTTTCCATGGAGATTCCTCTGGGTCTAGCCTAAAAACAGCAGATCAGCTGACACCATTAGCTCAGGACCTAATTACTGCTTATTGGAGCAACAAATGAGGGAGAGGGCCAGCTGCAAAGGAAGAGTTTTTATCCCTCCACCCCCCACCCGCATCTCCTTCTTTCTCAGTCGTCCTAGAGTCCCGGGTGAATTCTCATTAACTTGTAAGATTCCTGCAACAACAGCTCCCCTTCTCTGGAGGCTACCCTGACGGCTTTTATTCTTTTTTTTTTTTCTTTTGTATAAAAAAATGATAAAATAATCAGGTGGTTCTGAGTCCTTGTATTTTTGCCCAGGAAATAATCGACGAGTAGAATTCAGAGACTTCACGTCCAACAGAAGTCACACGTGAATCCAATATAAGTGGGGCGGAGGGAGGAAAAATTTCAATTTATTAAATTGGTCATTTCACTTGGCGTCTTTGATATTTTTCAAAAAATTAGTTTCTTAAATACATATATATTGGATATTTTGAAATAACTCCCTCAGTGTCAGTACACCTAATGGGAATGACTGTTAAAAGTTTCCCTTATGGCATTAGAGAGAGAGGAATATTCCGAGTTGGCAGATCTAGATTTTAATGCATATTGAACATGTTTCCTAGGAAACTGCAAGTATAGGTGGTCGTAGGGTGATCATTCAAGAGTAAGATACTATAGACTTTAGTTTCTCTTATGGCTGTAACTTTATTGACAATTTCAGTATTCTTTTCAGTTGTTCATTGAAAAGTCATCCCATCTCTTAATCTCATTCAAGTACTTTCACACCCATGAAACTTTCCTTCCTTGACTTCTTAAGTTAAAACAATGTAGCCTTCCAAACTCTTCTGAATGGTGTCTTTCAAATATTTTTTTACCCTTGTCTCAGTAAAATCAGCTTTTCACATTGGTATGAAAAATATTACATGTCATGCACACTGATATTTGTCATTTTACTCCTATTTCCTTTATTATTATTATTATTATTGTTATCATTGTTTTATAAAGTATGGCCCTAACTCAGTAAATTTGTTTCATATTTCAGCAAAAGATGACTAGCATCCTATAGTTAGGAAAACATTTTAGATCATAAGAAATATACCTCTCCTTGCACTATATTTATAGTTCATGTAAGAGAAGTTTGTTGTTCAGATACAGTCTTTATTGGAAGACACTTGAGAGTTTGTACTTTGTTTTTCAGCTAACTCCTGTACAACGAAAAATGTACATGGTATTTATATGTTAAGTATCTTAATTTGTAAAGGAAGGAGAAAGAGAGAAAGGGAAGATGAGAAGTAAGCAGGCACAGTTCTTGACCATTCCTAATAACTTTTGCTGGGAGTTATGGAAGAAGTTGATCCCCATATGTCAAGGCCTTACCACATATTTGTGTTCGTTATATGTGAATATAATATACAGAAATTAGGATATTTTAAACATAAAAAAACCTCACAGAATACAAGCAAATATAGCATCAACCCCTGCTCATATTAACTAGATTTTTTTTATATAAACCACAAGTAAAAACGAAAAAGAAAGCATACAAAAGTTAAAACAGCTTATATGAGATACATCCTTTTAACAAGAAAGAGGTAAACAATTAATTATTGAAAAAATATTCACATAGGACTAATGGAAAAGAGTGCTAAGATTTTAAGGACCAAATTTCTTAAAGCCCTGTGGATTCTTGTTTCTAGCGGAACCCAAAGTGAGCCCTGCTCTATATTTGTATTCATTAAGTGAGAGGGCTGATTCAACCTGTTTTACCATCTTTTCTACCTATGAGCATGAGCACGAAACAAAGTCTAAAATCTGCTTCAACAACTTATTATAGATTAATTTACCTCCTTTTAACTTCTCTGGAGTGAAGTCTTCCAGCTCCACCTATCGGGTCATACTGAGCCTTTCCCTTAGCTATATGATTCATTTGAACAAACTAGAATCTAATTTGTTTTTTTCCCAAGACACTTCCTTCAAAATTGCCTTTCTACAGAGTATATCTCTTGGAAATATGACTCTTCAACACCCATCTCTACATACCAATCCCTAACCTTGGCCTAGGGTTCTACCTGTTGTTTGTCCACTGGAAGAGGTTGGAAATTTTTATAGCAGAAAATTATATTTTACTGAAAGATAGTACAAATCTTGAACTATAATCAACTGGAGTTTATTATAAAAGTAAAGATTTTTCCAATCTCCTGATCAGTTGGTAATGACATTTAAAAATTTAGAAAATCTTTCATTTTAATATCTATCACAAATATTCATACAATACAGCATGCAAATCAGTAAAATGTTATGGTGCAGATATCATGTATTCTAATCATAAATTAAGGGTTCAAAGAATAATCTTCTATTCATATTTCCATATAGTTTTGCTTTCATTCTACAAACATTTGCTGAGTTTCTATTCTGATAGGAACTAGAAGTTAAAGTAGTCAACAAGACAGATGTACATATATGGCATTCATTTAATGAAAGTTAATTTTTTTCTAGGAAAAAAAGATATTAAGCAGGAAAATAAGCAGCACGTGAACGAAGAGTTAGAAGGGAACATATATGCTTATAGCAGAAAACAATGATAGAGTGGAAAAAATTGTTAAGTTTTAGGGAAGAATAGGTAACATCATGAGACTGAAGGAGAGGAAGGGAAATTAATAGGGAAAACACAAAGTTATTAATGCAAGAATTCTTAGTATGTTTGAGGAACAGAGAGAAGACCTCAAATGGATCAGACTGAGCTTAAAAGAGATAGGCAGGTTCTGAAGTCTGAGTAGTCTTCTGCAGCCAGATCTTATAAGGTAGTGCTGCCATGATAAGGAGTTTGCATTTTAATTATGGGTCCTGTGGAAAATCAATGAAGTATTTGAAACAGGAGAACCACATGGTAAGAGAATTTCTATAAGTTTCTCTAGTCAGTTTGTGGAGAAAGGATGGGAAGAGGGCAAGAATGGAAATAAGACTTGTTAGGAAATTCATAGTATTTATAGCAGTTTAGGTGAAATATTATTGTGATGAATTACAAAGGTAAAAGGTAGAGGGAGAGAAGTGATGGACTGAAGATGTGTTTTAAAGACAGATGAGGGCTTGCTGATGGATTGCATGTGGCAGTGAGGGAAAAGATTGAGTCAAGGATGATCATATGGCTGCTGACTTTATTAATATGGCTAGTGAGGCCATTGACTTAGAGATGGGATTTTGAGGGATGAACAGATTGGGAGTTGGAGGCTGAGGTAGGAGCCAAAGTAGGTTGGGGTAGAGAGCCAGGAAGAAAGAATTTTATTTCAGAAAAGTTAAATTTGAAGAGTTGTTCATGTAGGCATTCGAATATAGAAATGAGCTGCAGAGAAAAGTTTGGATGGCGATATAAACATACGACATTGAAAGCCATACAAATGAGGGCCTCCCCGGTGGCGCAGCGGTTGAGCGCTGGGTTGCGAAGCTGCGCGCGGCCTCTGCGGCGCCGGTTCGATCCCCGGCTGCTCCCCGGCCACCGGAGGAGGGTCCCACATGGCGCGCAGACCTCTCCTGCCGCCCGCTGCTCCCCTCAGCAGTGTACTTCGGTCCTTCTGCCTGCTCTGCTCCCCGCTCTGGCTCTGGTGAATTCTCTCGCCCTCCCGCGCTTCTGACTGTACCCAGTGCATGTATAAACAAAACAAACAAAGAAACCAGCAAACAAATAAATAAAGCATGCCTCTATTAAAAAAAAAAAAAAAAAAAAAAAGAAAGCCATACAAATGAATGACTTCACCTTCAGCCACTGGTCTCCATCACCCTAAGGGAAAGTCTCATCTTTTAATATTGATTTTTTTATATGTCAATACCCTATGAGTAAAAGAGAATATCATAAACAAGTCAATAGAAGTTGGCTTTTGTGGATAACACTAATAGTGGGAAAGACTGAGAAAAATAGAAAAGGATAACTCCTTGGCTATGTCTAAACTTTTATTGTTTCAAAATTAACATGTCCTTAAAATCATAAAAACATTTAAAAAGAAATAATGAAATTTTTGGTTAGTCCTATTATAGTTTGGATAAGAACCTGGAATCATGTCATAAAGTAATCTGAAATTTAGAATGGTCTATGAGCAAAATTGTCATGAAAAGGATTAAAAAGTCCACTGAGTTGAGTGAGGAAAAGAATTTGAGCCCTGTAGTTAGATTAAAGATTATGATAGATGGTACTTGCTACTTTCAAACCTGAAAGTTTTGAACATCATTATGTATTCAGATGTCTAACAGTCTATGAATAACTCTTGCAAATTTATAAAGGAAGCAAATGGTCAATACAATCAGAAACTTGATTATCATATAGCAAGATAACTCCTAAAATGAAAGAAAGAAAAAAAAGTTAAAGTAAAAATATACACTTCGTACAGATGGGGAAATTTGGGGCTACATAAAAAGTATCAAAAACCTGATTTTATTAGTTGACTTTGATTCTATTGACTTCTCCCAAATAATTTTGAAAAGAGTCTATCTTTAGTATATTGTAGCTACCCTTTGTTTCAGAAAACAAAAGCTATTGAGAGAATTGAAATATTGTCCTTTATGGTTGTCATTACTAAGAAACAGGATAACATGTATTTGTAAGTTATGGTATCAGTATTCCATTTTACAAACCAAAGAAAAATGATTAGAAATGTTATATTTGTTTGA